TCAGTTTAAGCTTGTATACATTAATTATTTAATAAAAAGTAATTTGGTTTACATTATGTGTAAGTAACATCTGTTCCATTATAGGAACATCTTAATCCATTACTTTATCCAGCTGTATCACATTTTGCACATTGTCCTTAAGCATTTATATAATATAAATCTAGACATTTATTACAAGTAGCATTATTTTGTGAATCAATTATACAATTTGATACAGAAAAACAATTAGAAGGACAGGTAATACATAAATTATTAGATGATAATTTAGCTATTGGCTTGATTGATGAACAATCTGTACAAACACCTTAAGCATTACAAGCAGAACAGGTATTTGGGTAGTTTGGACATGATTAACAGCTTCCATTTAGTACAGAGAATGCTCCACTACATTATGTACAATTATTCTGACTGGTACATTTACTACAATTATCAATGGCAGAACAATCTCCACATTAATTTGTTGATGAATTCCAATATTGAGGACATTATTAGCATTCAGTAGGTGATTTTAAGTTATAAGTTGGTTAACAATTCTTACAAGTAGTCTTCGTGTCACATACTTAGCAGTTTGCAGTACATAGTGTACAAACATCATTTTCTAAGAAATATCCATCTAAACAAGCTGTACATTATTTACTATAATTTAATTAATTTTATTACAGATAGTTACACGTCTTGCAATTGCTTGTGAGATCTGAACACAGCTTACATTGATTAATATTTTGATAATATTTAGGATAATTTGATTATTACCAAGTACTAGGTGCACTATCCGAATATTAATTTGGTGTAAATTCAGCCATTACATTATAATAACCATTTGAACATTTTGTACATATGCCTGTAGTTAAATCAAAAGTATCACAATTATTATTTGTTACACAAATTCCCCCTATTATATAATTATATAAATTACCTATCAAAGTTGACCCAGTTGAACATTAGTAACAAATTATACTTGTTCCATCTGCTGCAATGCCTCCTTTTACGCAATTTGTATCTGGAATCGCAACGCATGTCCTATTTTATTATATTAAACATACAATCCAACTTGATAATAACCATCGTTACAAACAACAGAATCACATCCATTAGATGCTTTACAAATACAAATCCCTCCAGTAATTGTTGAGCAAGCCATGCAGATCTATGAATTGAAAATATAGTCTATTGTATATTCTACACTATTACTTTATTCACAAACATATGGAAGTATATTATCTGTCTATGGTGTTAAATTTACTCCTCCTGGTTAATTAGATAACCCGTTCACTCCAAAATAACTCAAAATTAGCAGTATCTCTAAAAATGTTTACACTTTCATATTTTTATACAATATAATTATTAATAACAAAAATCTTTAATTCTTATTATTTATATACTAAAGAAATTACCCCCTCTCTTCTATTTATTCATTAGAATCAATACAGAATTTCATCTCCATTCTCATCTTTTTAATCTTATCTATTATTATCTTATTCTTAAAAATAATCCGTATTTATCCACAATTCCATATATCAACCTTTCTCAATTTTCCTTTAATAGAACTCTAATATTCATATCTTTTTTCGAAGTTCCCTCGCTCTTTTTACTAACAGTTAAGAAATAACATTTTAGTCTATGAAAAATTCATAAATATATGGAAAAATTTTTAACATGTACAATAGGATTTGATTAATTACTAATTATTTCAATTGATTAATTTTTATCCCTTTCTACAAACATTCATATCTTTGGTTAGTCTTGGAATTTTAGTATCCTTCTGTGAGAGTAGTTTTCAGTTGATTTAACTCGCTTCACTGATTTAGGTTTTCTATGATAAATGGCTCCCTTTGAAAGAATTTATGATACCAATTATTATTCATCCTCATTCAAAGATGTTTAAACATTTTGAAAAATCAATTGTTATTACTTTTATGGGCTATATCTTCTATATCGCACTTATGTTGATTTTGAATGATGTAAGGATGGTTAGTTCTTTTCCAAAAATGAAGACAGGTTTGGTAAATTCTTTTCAAATATCCTCTCTTCTTGAATAACTTATTTATATGCTTAATTTTAGTATAAACTTTGAGTTTAAACCTTTCCTAATAAAGATCTATCTTTAGCACGAGTATAACAACTTCTGTCTACATACTTTTCATGTGCACTAAAGTTTTAAGATCTTTCTCCCATAGCACTCTACTATAACTTCTTATTTGATTCTTAAGAAAGTGTCTTAAATCTCAATTACAAATTTTAAAAAAACTATAACATATTACCATTTTACTGTTAATTTATTTTAGCCATCATTTGTAATTATTATTATCTTTATGAATTGATTGCCACTTACAATTATGAATTTCTTCTCATTAATTTTAATATAAATACTCTTAGATTTTAATATTTGGTTTAAACTTAAATAAATTCCTCCACATACAATTAACTTGTAGGTTGACTATAGATTCTTTTCATATATAATTCTATTGGAATCATTAATAGAATTGTATCTGAACTCGAACTAACACAAGTGAATCGATGTTTTTATTCTACACTATGAACATCTTCCAAACCCAAAAATTGATGTTTTCCTAATGTAGCAATCTTCCTATGTAGACTCTTCCCTCTCTATTTCATAAGTGGAGAAGCTGCTCTTACTTCATCATCTTCCTTTTCTTCTATAAATAATTATTATAACTTTAATTATATTATTTAAATACATCCACAGCACCTTCCTTAATCAAATATATCATATCAGCAATCTCTCCTGATTAATATACTAAATCTCCCATCCTATAACTTCTTTATTGCAATGTCTTGTAAATCTAAAAAATTGAATTCACATTCCAACCTTCAAAAATCTCTAAATTTGCAAAAAAACCCATCTCTTTCATTGAAGATTTCTCTTAACCAATTCTTACAACATCTTTAAAGTATTGTCTCCTTATTAAAGCAAAATGGCATGGTTATAATGCCACAGCTGTAAAATCTCTTGGCCTATTATGTATTAATGACATTTCTCCAAATGATTGTCCTGGTAATAAAATTTTTATTAAAACTAAATCAGATTGCTATGATTAGATTTTATTTATTTAATAATCCTTAAACTTATTATTGTTAACTGCTTATCTAAACCTTAATTTAACCTTCTCCAATAATTTTGTTGACGATGTCTTATCTTCAACATCATTAGGCTTAACATATATTCCAACTTATCCTTACAGAATTATGTAGAATTTGTCTCCAACTGAATCTATGTTTATTATACACGTGTTTTATGTCGCATATTCATGTTCAAAATAATAACTAAAATTTAGATCACTTTGATCTGCAAAATATTTTTAAAAAAATTCGATCTTTCTCACCATTCTCTCTATTGGATATAAATCATCCTCATTTCTTCTTTCAAATGGTTTCTTTAATTATCGAATTAATTCCTAGAGAATTTTATATTGTTACATCCTCCATCTTTAAATTATTTGTATAATTATAATCAATTATTTTATTTACTCATTTTAAATAATCTCATAATACATTTATATAATCTTCCCTCTAAATCTACACAACAATAATAAACCAAAAAAATTAACAGTTCCTGTAAGATTGAATTTACTTTCTATTTACAAAAATCCTTCAATAATGCTTTCGATACTCTTAACTTAAATTAATTACTTTGATCTTTCTATATTGCTTATTAGATACTATTTCAATTCATATCATCATTTCTTTTAAACTTTCGATCATCTCAAACAATTAATAATCACTTCCTAGTTAATTTTGTATTCAACTTAATGGTTCTTTTAAGATATTTAATATTTATAGTAATATAGAATAACACTTCTATTTTTTAGAACTTAAGTACATCAGGTAAGTTTTTAATTGTTTATATGGTCAGAGAGAACGTATCTTTAATCACTTAGGCCTTATAATATAAATAGCTACATAAATTAAGATCTCTATATCTATAATCTAGATACACATTCAATTCTTCTTTTTATTGAAATAACTTATTTTGTTTATCTATTGATATATTCGATTGAACATTTTTTTGTAATTTTTAGTATGAAAAGTTAATAAGAATACAAAATTTTGTTGTTTAGTAGAATTGGTGATATGGATTAGAATAAGCAGTGCAATTTACTCATGATATTGGATTAGTTAAAATAATATAAAAGTTGATTATAATATGCTAGTCATATTCATAATTGTTTCTTGTTTCTAACAAAACTGAAACCACGAATCTTCTTGGCAATGCTAAATTCTGAGTTCATAATTGAAACATCTTAACTAGCCATTGAGATAGAGGATTATATAAGTGACTCATTTTGTGAAAAAAGCTGTGATTAAAATTTACTAATTTTCCATTACTCAACTACAAAAGAAAAACCTCTTCTTATTCTTTAAGATGCCATTGAAATAGATTTCTATGTTTTAGGTTTTTTCAATTAGAAATTAAATCCTCTTATTTGTTTTGTGTTGGTCAATATTGTAGAGTTTACCATTTTTGTTATTTACAAATTATTAAAATTAATAACAACTTCGTTAACTAAAAAAAATATAGTTTTTTTATTAAAAGTAAGTGCAAACAATTATATTAATATAGAATTAGTTCAATAATATCTCCATCCATATTAGAATTATTAAAATGATCTTTAATGTCCAATTAATTGAGATGGTGGTGAAACAAAGGAGGATCTTCTACCATACATATTCTAATCGACTTAATAATTTCTTGAAACAGCTGGCCCTTCTGGTATTATGGTGTCTGCTTTTTAGACATTATAATATGGTGTAATGTCATGTGTTAAATTGCTTTTTACTTGGCCGAATAGTTTCTCTTCATATTTTAACAATTATCGAATGAATCCTGGATTGGGACATACCAATGGTCTTACACTTTTCAAATAAATCAATGCTTCTTGTAATGTCCAATCTTAGGAGTACATAAGATAAGCTAACACAATAGTAGCAGATCTAGATTTTCCAGCTACACAATGCACAAGTACATTATGATCATCTTCCATATGTTTTTTTATAAATTTATTGGTTTTATCAAAATATCCAGAGATATCACATTGGGGACGATCATTTACCTGTAAAACCATTTGATCAGCATCTGAATTAGCTTGAAAATCTAATCAAAATAGTGTTTATATCCTTACTTTGTTCTGTTGAAAAAGATATGATGGCTTTTACATCATAATTTTGGTAATATTAAAATGCTTAAGCATCTCCTATGTAGAGTTTACTATCAAAATCAAGAACACAATTAATGAAGTTAGTGGAAGATTGAGGACTTTAATAGGCAGGATAATAGTAATTCATTTACAAACAGAATTTAATTAATGATTTTTTCCGTTAAAAATTTATAACAAATATTTCATAAGTATTCTATGTCATTTTTTAAAAAACTTATAGCAAGCGAAACTCAACCCTATTCCTAATCCGACTCCTAATATCTTTTTAATCATAGACTAACATTTAGGTTTCTCTTGTACAGGATCCTATTATTTTGGATGAATTTCTATAGATTACTCTAAAGGTGTTTGGCAGGGTGCAATTATCAATTAATCATCAATGAATTTTCTAGTGCAATAATATTCATTAATTTCACCTAAATAATTTAATTCATCTTATAAATTTATGTATTTATTATTGCTAGATGCTTCAGATGAAAATGAAGCTACTGAAATATAACTTTATTTTCTCTTTTTGGCTCTTTCACAATTTAAACTTTTCTTTGATTAAAAAGGAACTTTCGAAAATTAAATATCTTCATTATTATGTTCGTCTTCTTCATAAAATCCACAATCTGTAGAAATCCTCTTTTCACAAGCATATTCTATTTTTTCATCTGCTTCTGTTCTAATCCTTGCTTAAGGTAAAATATCATTAGCTTTTATTCTTACACTATTTTATAATCTTAGGGTGCTAAAAGTGCGATCACAAGTTACTAAATCTTCTGTTTATTCTAATTTTAATGGTAAATTAATTTTAATGCCATTTTATTGTTCTTTTAAGTGTATCATTTGCTAAACAGAATTGAGGATTTCATGTTCTTATTACTCTTTACCTGGAAGCTTTGTATTTTCAATTTTTTCAATAATAGATTCAATTATTTCTAAAATAGATTTTTATAGAAATACTAATTTCATCAACTTAGAGTGGGAATTAATTTGATTGATTTGTGGATTTTTAATTAACTATCATTTATCTGAGATCAGAGATTAATTACAAAAGTTTAATAATTTTCTTATTGTTATTTGACATGGATTAATTGAGTTAATTGATGGTTTAAATATTTTCTTCATTTTATTTTTGCAACTTAATAATAATACGATAAGAATTACTTTATCATAAGTTTATTTTAATTATTAATTCAGGGAAGATTCCCATTCGATAATTTTGTGATTTTCATTGAATTCAGATTTCACTGTTTCCAATGTATTTTCACAAATTTCAAGACCTTCAACTAATTCAAGTAGTTTTTACTATTTAGAATAAGGTTTTTTAAATGATTATCTTTTCTCTAATTAAACTAACTCAGCTTGTTTATTGTCAATTTATTAAATGATCTATTCTTATGATTATTATAATTGTGCAAATTATGTGTGATATGTAAGATTCTATTATTATGAATGTTCAATCTTTGTTGAAATATCTAACTGCTTGATGTTGCTTAAATTAAGTTTAGTTTAAAGCATTTATTTACGATTCGAGTACTGTTGAATAAATTCTCTTGAAAGTGATTTGAGATCATTGTAATTTGGTATGTAGGTCGTATAATAGTTCAAATAATCGAGAATTTGTTGAGTTAGCAATGTTTAGGTATTATTCATTTATAATAAATTAATTTTTATTCGTTTTTATAAATGGGTTGGTTAGGATCGCTGATAGTGATAATTTTGACCTGTATTGTAGGGATAGTTTGGTATTTTGTGCATTTGATAGCACAAGTAAGAAATTATTTAATTATTAATAGGGTTTTACATCATAATATAAAGATGAATAAGACTTTGTAAGTGATCAACTTAGAGGTTTGTTAGGAGTAGAAGATATTTAACCCAGTTCCTATAGACCTACAGTAGAACCATAATATTTATCAGGAATTGTGGATTTAATAGAAACATCAATAGGAGGATTATGGCTAGCACAATTTTTGTACATGATTCTACTTTTATTTCTATTTTTTTTGGCTGTCGATATTTGGTTTATTGACTTTCCATTTTCATTTATGTTTAATGCAATTATTGGAGCTATAACAGTGATGTTATTTGCATATTATGTAACTACAACAAATAGCAAATCGTTGACAAGAGCTTTGATACAAGTAAATAATATTTAGCAAATATTAAGTCATAATTTTCAAAAGAAGAGAGTTTTGGATACATGTACTCATGTGGATTTGCAATAGCAAGTTTATTATTTAGTTTATTATTTGGAATGTATGTCTTAATGTATTATTTCAATGTGGCAGTTTGGGGAGGAGATATGAAGAAATAAGAATATGAGAAAGTATCAATATTAATGATTGGCTATTTAATGGGAGTGATATTGGGAGGATTCGTTTATAGAGAAGGAATATCTATAATGTGTAGATCACTAAAAACTGCATCTTTCGGTCTCATTAGAGCAGATTTAAATTTAAGTGTTGGCAATAATAACATCTCATAATTGACTAGATTAGCATATATGGTATCTTAATAAGCAGGAAATACTATAGTTAATTTTCTAGATACAGGATTTGTACTCTTATTTTTATGTTGTGCTATATCACAAATAGTGATTAATAGTCCTGAAATATTGGATAGTAAAAATAGAAGTGCATTTATTTTGGGACCTATCTATTTGATATGTATAGGATATTTGGGATTTATAATTTGCTATTTTTTGAAAACTATTTGTGCAGATTAAGAGACAGGATCATTTGCTTCTCTTAATGTTAGATGGTAAGTTATTATAGCTGCTTTAATTTCATTCATTGTTCATGTCTCCTTTCCATTTTCATTCCTCATTGATAAATTCACTCTTAAAGGAGAAAATACTAAAGACATTGATTTCTCAGGTAAATCATCAATGCATGCATGTTGGTGTTATTTATTAGGGTTGATCTTTAATGTGTTTCATATCAGTATATTTGAATGGTTCACATCTCATGGTTGTCCAAATGTTAGAAATATGGTAAATTATTATGATCAAATAGGGATTAGCAACAAGTGATCGTATATTACCTATGAATTTGATCTTCTCAAATTATTTGGGAGATTTGTATTCTGCTATTCCAACAGTCTTAATGTTCCTTCTCATTACTATTGTATATTCAATTGAAGGATTTGCAGGATTACTCTTTACAGCATCTGGATATGTCTCTCTATTTATTATCTATGGAGTAATATTCTTTATTGGTTCCAACTCCTCTGATTCTTATAAATTAACGTGTTTTGCTCATTTTATATCCGATGTCTAAGGCAAGATATTTTAGATCTATTGGGAAACCAAAAATTATATGATATTCCTTAAAGCTACTAATGCAGGCACAGCTTTCCTTGTATCTATTGGAATTATTGGAGCTTAACTTTATTAATATCCGACTGCACTAAATTCACTCTTTTTACAAAACGAAGGATTCTTGGGGTTATTCATTGGTTTTAGCTTGATCTTTGTATGCAGAGGAATAAATACTTGGGGAATAATTAATGTTGCAAAAAATTATGTAATAAGATATTAGAATAATTAGTTTATATTCCAACCATCAGATGAGGCAGAAGGAAAACTGAATTATTTAAAGGATATAAGAATAATAGAATTTACTAAATTCAAGTATACTCACAGTATGTTATATGTTGCATATAATATATTGTTTGTTACACTAATGATATTGGTATTTGGATCAATTTTAGGCCATGCTGGAAGTGTTGCAATATTAATTGGGGCATGTATAGCTGTTTTGCTCATTCAATACAATGGATTGATTAAAGGGACAACTTTGGAGAATTCTAGAGTGTATAATGAAAGTATGATTTTGAATTGAGTTGGTAGTCCAAGATAACAGAAAGGATTAACACTATTTAATGTATGTGTCTGGTGATACTTATGCTTGTGCTACTGAGGAAAGCAATGCTTGTCCTTTGATACCATATTTGGTTTACATTTTCTGTTTACTAATTTCTTGTTAAAAACATTTTGCAAAAGTAGGAAAATGAAATGATATATTTGAAAATACATCAATATACAAAATTATAATTAGTTATCATAATTTCTTTAGAATAGTTAATTCTACACACTATTATAAATCAAATAAATATCAAAAAATAATAGCTCTCATGAGCTGTATTGGATAGGCGTAACAACTAGTTAGTGAGAAACTCATTAAAACTGATGGAGATGATTCAGATACTCCACTTCCAGAATCTGATAAAGATGATCTCGGATAAATCTTGAATACTGAAGAAAGTAAGGGTAAACCAATAAAAACCCTTAGATTCAGTTTACAAAATCAAGTATGGATTTTTGACAGATCCTCAAAACGACAACAATCCTACAAATCACCTTCTCCACTTGCTAAATAATCTTCACCATCGATACTCAAAAATAAAAGCACACAAAAAGTAACTAAATAATGAAATATATATTTAAATTAATTCATGAACAATTATAACAAAAACAAAAATCCTAAGTTATCTTGTTGTTAAACCTTTCTCTAGAAAATCAAATGTTGCTTTGCCAAAAAATAATAAACCCAACTACATATAACAAACAATAAGTATCATTCTCCCTTTGCTTTCTATGGAATGCCAGGTTCTTTATGTACAGCCAAAGTTACTTTACATAATTTCCTTCTTAAAAAGTTAGGAGAAAAAATTAAAAATACTTCCAAAGAAATACATTCAATATTCATTAATAGATAATCACTAAGTCCTTAATAATTATAAGAACTTATGCCTTATATATTTCCATATATGCATGAATTGATAATAACCGATGAATAATTAAAATCAGTTCTCCCATTTTGTGTTACATAATATTTGGCTAAACGAGTAACTTCATTTACTTAGGGGTTAATAGTAGATGCAATTACTGGACCTGGAAACTTATCAATTGAAATTGCTTAATTCAATGCGAAGCAAGTAGATTCCTATTCTATTGATCAAAATGACAATGCCAAATATAATATTTAATAATTTCACTATTACTCCTAACAAAAACAGAACATATACTTAACTTCATTTTTAGAAAGACAAGAAAAAGCAGATGCAATAATTATTTAGTATCAATATCTCAACCATTTTCAACTTGATTCTCAGCTATATTAATATTTAACTAAGGCTTTCTAACTTTCAGAAAATATTGTTCTTGTATTACCTTCAAATATATAACCAAATGATTTATGTTCTTTTCTGAGTCCTTTTTCACATACAAATCATCATAGTTTCAGGCAACTAGAAATCCAAAAGATAAATATTGGAGGTCTTCCATTATGTTAAATCATATATATTGGATATATTTAAGATGAAGTATAATATATACACTATATAAACCTAGGAAATCCTGGAATAACAATTAAGAAATTGTTATCTTAAAGGATTATTGGCAGATCAACCTAATCTTGATGAGAATTCAATCTTTAATTATTAGAAAGCACTTAATGATGTTATCGCTGAAATCGGTATGTAATAAACATTACTTTTAATTGAAAAAACATTGGCATCCAAAACTTAATTAGACTTTTCTATTGAACTATTCTTTTAATAGATTGTCTAACTAAATATTGTTTCTAAAGAAAATATAAAAAATCAATTAGAATTTTCCATCTCTGATCAAACCCCAACATTAAATCATCCTTTGTTAAATGCTCGTCAATCAAGTTTATCTAAGAAATAAAGCTCTTTAAGAATAAGCTCTGATCTGTCGAAGCCTTCATATCAATAAAGTAAATATAAAGTGTTCAGTTTTCAAAATAAAACAGTTGAATGATTAATATTAACAGATTAAAATCAATTACATTTTTTTACTTATTTACGTTACAATAATTATTATTCTATTACCATCCCTCCTAATTCTTTTTTATCTTTTTGCTTCTTAAATAAAGTTGATGCTTAGAACTCTGCTCTAAACTCATTCTATCTATACTTTTAATTCATACCTTATGGAGAGCCAACAAACATTATGCCAATATCTAAGGTTATAACTTCTCTTTCAATTATTCCCACAATAAATCAACCTTTCCTGCTTCACTCTATATTAATTTAATTTCTTGTTTAATCTTCTTAAAAGAACTTTATTACAATATAAATTATTACTCATTCATATTTTATTTGGCTACTCCTAATTTCTGCTTTATTTTTTCATTATTTCCTAACTCATCACTTTTTGTATCAATTTTCTTAAAAATATCTCTCAAATAATCTGTATAATTTCTTCAATAGAATTTATATATATATAAATACCTAGAGTTCTAAGAAAAGAAATCTTTATCATCTAAAATACTAAAGAGATATTTTGTCTATAGTGGCAAACAAACATCCAATATTGAATATGAATATGACTTTGCAGCATCTATTCTTTCTTGTTTATTTGAAGATGTTCTATATTTTAATGCATCTAATAATATTTCAATCTCTGTAGCATCTTTTCCTTAATTTATACAATCTTCTAATCTTTCAAATAATTTTTATTATTATTCCAAAAATTGAGAAAACTATAAATTTAGATGACAACTTACTTTATCCTGTTATTTATTATAAATTTCAATAGATTTTAATAAATTATTGCATTATTCTCTCAATTTATCATTTTCATCTTATAATTCTTGAACTCTTGTTTCCAATAATTCAAAATAAATTTTTTTTCTAGCTCTAGAATTTCTAGCTGATTCTCTGTTTCTCACTTATTTTAGACGACTAGGATCAATATTACCATCATTAAGTGAATCAGGATTTTCTGATGATGATTAATCACTATGTTCAAGATTTAATAACTGTTACTATTCATTTTTTCTTTCCAATTTCTACTAACTTCTTCTAAAAATAAATCAAAATATTTCAATACGATTATCTTGCTTTTGTTGTTACAATTAACTAACCATTATTTTCTTTCTTTACTAAATTCTAAATTTTATTTGTGTATGTACTCTTTGTGTACCCTAAATTCAGAATAATCTAGGATTATAATGAATCTTTTAAATTTTTTTATTCTTCTTTTGTATATTTTTCTATGTATCTATAACAATATAATACTTGATCTTCTTCTCCTTTGATGATTTTGACTAGCATCTCTAGAATTATCACCATCACTTCCACTTCTTGGTTAAGCTTCAATTGAGCTATCATTCATAATTTTTAGCCTATCCATTCTTATTTCTTCTAATTGAATCTAATTAGATCCATAATTATTATTCCCATTATCAGCATCTTCAAAAATTTATATTTTTGGAAATTCTTATCGTTTTTAATTCTGATTTCTCAAAAAGGGATCTGTTAATCCAGAAAAATCAATTTAATTAGCATTCATATCACACGAACTATATGGAATTCATAATCTATAAGTACTCATTGAAATAATATTGCTCACTAATTATAGGATCACACATCAATTATTAGTTTAAAAATATATATATATCATTAATCAATTATTTTTTTCACATATTATCTTAGATTTGCAGGCCGTTAACAGTTTGGATTATTTTAACTCTAAAAAGTATAATTAACTTTATTACTTATGGATTTTGCCTGAAATATTTACAATCACTAAATAAATTACTACAATCAAAGGCTGGTCTGTGTTAATTCTAAAAATTTTCTATGTAAAATTTTACTTAATGAATTATCAAAAGCAATGATCTTAATTAAACTGGTTCCAAAACTTCATAAATAGATTTCCAAATTTATTCAATTTTCTGCGTTTCATTTATTATCATCTTTACAGAATTGTAAAGATTATTTATACAACTAAAAAAATAAAACCATTTCTATATTACCCTGTAATACTTTTTTTAACACTATTTAGCTTCTCCTTATGTTTTCTTATTCTTCTAGATTAATCTTAATTAATATCCATATGCTAAAATGTTTCTTTAGTCCATTCAAAAAATGAACTAAATATATAATTTAATAAATAACCCTTAAAAATCAGATAATATATCTTTGTTTTGATCATAACTATAGAGAATATATTTTAATTCTATGGGTAACAAAATCTCCAATAAATTATCTATATATTAGTTTCCAATAGTATTCTTATCAAAATTCAATTGGCATTCTTTCAATTATTCTAAAACAAATTAAGTTGTATTTTAATCTTAATCTTTGATTTAACAAACCTCTAATTATTCAATCAATTTTTTCTGATTCTCTAATAGATATTAGTACTTAATTGATTTTTAAATTATTACATTTTCTTAATTCTCCTTAAATTTTTAGATTTATTTAGCTTAATTTTAGCAAAGTTCATTTAATCTATCAATTTCATCCTATAAATCCTTAACCTTCGTTTCTAATAACTCAAAATATAATCTTTTTCTTGCTCTTGAATTTCTAGCAGCTACTCTATTTCTAGCTAATCTATCTTCTGACATTTCACATCCAGATTGTTAAGAACTTTTTTACTCAGATTGATCCGAAGTTTCGATTAGTTAATGTGATGACTTTCTTTTAATTTTTTGTTGACTCTTTCTATCAAATTAATTTATATATATAATTACGAAAGTCTATTTGATTTTGGGTTTGTTGAAATTTATTTATCAACTAATTAACTGATCTTGCTTGTATAAAGACTTTTAGCATAGTGTACATTAAATAATTCTGAATTGCTCTCTACAATTTTGTTACTTAATTATTGTCTTGTCCGAGGCCTTTTCAAATATTGCTTGTTTAAAGAATTATTATCTTCAGTGTGACTCCAAGATGTTGCTCTTCCATCACTATGAACTGATTAAATTTTGAGTTTTTCAAGACCTAAATCATCAAATATTGATTCTCCTTAATTTTCAAAAGGTTAATCTGATTGAGGTAAATCTGAACAAGAATCCTCAAATACTCTAATCACTGGCAATTCCTTTCTATTTGCATGAGAAGATTAAAAATATTTATCCACATCTCCCATAGCCTCATTTTCTATGTTACCTATTTAAAATTTATATACTATTAACCTGATTAATGAAGTTATTCAAGTTGTTCAGCTTCCATTCCAATATGTTAATCCATAAAGTTATTAATTTATATTATCTTTTATTTCTGATTATTTTTAACAAATTTATACAAAAACAACTAAAACTCAAAGTCAATAACACATTATTTTAAGTTTAAGTTTAAACTTAAACTTAACTTCTATTTTTACTAAATTAGTATAACATATTGTTTATGATTTTAAAATAAATTTATCTTAGGGAATTCAACAGAATTTAATTTTCATCTTCCATATTTAAAGTTTCATTTCTTAAATCTAAGATATCATGACTGTCTTTATCCATTCTTGCAATAAAATAGAAAAATTAAATTAAATTACATTTAATCACCCTTAAATATTTAGATTTTAATGATGGAAATTCAATTTATTCATGTTCAGATAACTTTAAGATGAGTTATATAATATTTTTCTGATAATATAGAAAATGACAATTTAATAATAATAATTTTTACTCAAACTTATAAGAAATACATCTCTTATAATTTTAAGACTTTTAGTAAAATAATTATATATTATATTGCTAAAATTTTAATTGGTTATGTAAAATTCATTATTATAATTGAAGATTTCATTAAGTATTAGAATTAAATAATTTATTAATAATTTTCTATTTGTATAAGGAGAAAAGCCACACTAAAACGAAAAGGAGTATTTACTTTTAATATTCGATCCATCAGAGTGAGAAATCATGAAGAATACATGAATAATTTAAAAATCCAAGCCATTCGTTTGTAGATTGAAAAAATAGTTCATCTTGATCCAATCCTTCAATCACTTCTCAATTCTAAATCGAATCATAAAAATTATTCACGTTCTCTTTTCAAGAATTAGTTGAATAGATCATATGTAAACAAAAACAATAGGATTTTGAATAACAACAAAGATCTAAAAGGATTCTATAATTGGAGATACAAGTATAAAATACAAACGATTGATGTCTTGTGGAACCAATTAATTAAAATGCATAAATTTGTAATAAAAAGAAGATTTAGAAAAGTTAATGTACTTGTTACTTACATACTTTCTATGTAATCCAGTAAGAAGAAAAATGTAGAGATTCTCAGGACCTCCCATTTCCAAATTTCGCAGTAGAAATATACTTGATAGATTACCATAAAATTATAAATAGAAAAAGCTAATACAGTCAATGTAAGTTAATCATCAAAAGGATCAACTTGTTAATTAAAAACAAAACATTCATCTTTCTGAAGCTTTGATACATTCATAAAGAGACATATCTAATAATTTATTGTAAGGCAAAATACTGATTAATTCTCATAAAAAAGAATATGCAAGACCGAACATTTTTAAGTTTGAAAAGCATATATAATTTTATAGAAATCAAAAAAAAACGATCTTATTTTAAAAGTCATCTTCAAATAAATTAATATCTTTGAAGTTATGAATTAAATCTTAATCTATTATTTATATATAGAGATTATTTGTATATACAATAATAAATATTAATAATAAAAATGAATATTTATAATTTTTCTTAAATAAGTGATGATACCATTTCAATTTAAAAATAATGTGGTGATACTTTATCATCAAAAATAAATAAACACTTACGATAAATTCTATAATATTATTTTCATAAGGGTGATTTAACATTATTATTATTAATTAAATTATAATGGGATTATGCTAAATGACAAAAAATAAGGATGTTTAATAGACTAGAAAAGTTGATATTTCATAAAATGCAAGTTTAGTAATATAAGATTAATATCCTTTACCAAAACCAAAGTTATTCATGGGGTTTCCTTACATAACTAAGTCTTTTGAACAAATTCAAATCATAGAAGTAACTGAATCGATGGCTTATAACTTTATTGTTAGATTAGGGGTAAATTAACAAAAGTAAGTTTAAAAAGATTTGGATTATCAGGGAGTTTTCTTGTACTCTGAAAAAGCAAAAACTAATTTTTTTGATTTTGGATTTACTCCAATTGATGTCAGTCGACCTGATAAAATATTTGAAGATAAAAAATAATACAAATTTTTATTTGATTTTAAAAATTTATGGGTATTTAGAGATTATGTAGAGAAAATAGAGTAAGTGTTAAATGTTTTCAAGGAAATAAATGTGAAGATTAAAACAATTTATACTTTCCCAAAACCATTGAATAATTTTATGGACCAGTATTAAATGCTTGGTGAGATAAGCATATTAAATTGTTATTATCCATTATTATTATTTGATTATAAAGATGTTTTTGATGCTACTAAAAGAGGAGATGATACTTTCAGAATCTATTTACATAGTGAAGATGCTTTTGAATTACTTATTAAAAAAAATTAAATTAGTCTCTATAATAGAAATCTATAAGTTAGAAATCTCATTTTTCTATATCAATGGGTAAATTTTAGTGAGATGAAAAAACTAGAAGAAAATTTATACAAAATATCCTGTTATAATCTAATTTCATAACCTTCTGGATAAATTAATACCTAAAAATTAGTAAAGGAGTTAATACCTTATCTATAAAATTTATAGTAAATGGGAAGCAATGTTATTTTAATTTATTCAAGCAAAGAACCTTAAGGAATGAAAAGTGCTAGATTTACAATAGAATAATTTATGGCTAGAGGATTGTTAATATTTCCTGAAGACATTTAAAAATATAATGAATAATTAAGATCCCTTTATATCAAACCTGAATAATTTACTTAACCACAATAAAAAGATAATTCTTAATAAAAGTAATAGGAATAAGAAATAATTTAATTAAGCAGAGAACAAGAAATTATTAATCTATATGATACTTGGTTAAAAAAGATTAAAGCTTAATAATTATTATAAAGTTCTCACAATCTATTTTAAAAATTAATTACTAATATTCTAGAAAATCCTAACGAAGAGAAATTTAGAACTATTTAAAAAACAAATAAAACTGTTAATCTAAACATCCTATAATATGAAGAAGGCAGATAGATTTTATAATTAATTGGATTTAGGGAAGGTGAAAATGATTATAAAAATATATTTGAAATTGTTTAATTAAAAATGGCAAGAGCGGATATTGAAATTGCATGGAAAAAACAATTAGAGAAAACTTTAAAATGAACTAAGAAATGTCAATTGATATTTAAAATCCATTATTATAAATATTAATATTGTACTTTTTAAGTTATAGTTAATGTGTAAATTAACTAAATTTCATTTACTATTACATAAATATAAATAAACTAATAGTTGGTGAAATTTAAATTGAACAGGATTCAAAAGTTCTATAAAATAGTCTCTATTTTGTCTTCAGATTATTCTCTACTTTATTGTATTAAAATCCTTTAACCAATTATTAAATAGTAAGATAAAAATAGAAAATTTAATAAAGTGTTATTACAAAGAAGAAAATTAATCTCTTCATAATTGATAAAAAAAGTTAAAGATGATAACAATTAATTGGTCTAAATTAAAAGCTAAATTATTCAGCAATTCAAATACTAAATAGATTAAAAATAGAAATTAATTGCTTAAATATTAAATTTAAATAGAGAATTTATCAATAATTATAAAATTTATTTTAAACTATAAAATCTAATATTGGTTAGAAATCCACTTCATAAAATGTTAAATAAAACTAGATAAAATTTACTAAAAGATATCCTAATTATAAGAAGAGTATAGAATAAAACTGGTTGAAAAAAGAATTATAATCTAAGCTTGAAAGCTAGTAACGATATAGAAAATTATTTTAATACATTTAGAAGTGAGAGGAGATGGAAATTGTTTCTATGCAGCTTTTAGATATTATTTTTATTAATGTTAATATTTGATTATTCTGTTGAATAGTTCTATTATTTCATAGAGAAAATCAATAAATTAAATTATCAATAATGAAAATATGTATTAGTATTTTAGTTAGATTAATTAAATTAAAATAAATTGAAGAAATACATTCAACAAATCTTAGAAGTGATATAAATAAAAACCTAAAGAAACTCAGGCCTAAAGTTATGACATATTAATTTTGATAGAATAACAATAAATATTAAAAAAATTGTTTAATCAAAAAATCTTTTTCTTATTCAACTTAGAAAAATTCCTTCATATTTTCCAAATTTCAATTGAAAAAGTGATATTATAATGAATTTATTCGAACATTAATATTAAAAAAAATTTATTCGTTTTTTAATTTTTTTTTTCTCTTGAAACAATGTTTTTCACATTTTAAGAAGTTTTATTGGTTTTACTTAAAATAATAGAATTACAGATGATAATTGGATATAAAGAAAACTTTTTATATTAAATTAATATTTTTATTATATGACCTTTTTTTGGAGTGAGCTAATAGCCATAATTTTCATAATTGCTTTATTTATCTGGTTAATTGTTTTGACTCTTAAAATTTTAAACATAGAAAAGAAAAAACTTTCTAAAAAAAAACAGAAAAATGAAGATAAAGGATTTGAAATAAAGCCAGAAGAAAACTAAAATAATTAAGCAAATGATGATCCTGAAATATAATAGTATGTTTATATTAATAATGATAGATTATTATTAGAGGAATAAGATAGAAATAAAGAGTAAATAGCATTAGATGTTGGATAAAATATTCTAAAAAAAAAACAATAGATAAATCAAAATAGTTAAAACAAAGAAATAAAAAGTTAATTTTAAAATTTATAAGAAATAGAACTCTTAGGTATTAAATATAAGAAATTTAAAAGATTAAAAAATATAAATAGATAAGCTATAAAAATAGTTGGAAAATTTATAAGAGCTAATACAATCTTTATAGGTGGATAAAAATTAATATGAAACATTAAACAAATAAATACTAGATATAAAAGCACTGATTAAAATTTAAAATATCCACAATTACTCATAGCATTTAAGTGACATTCATGCAAGGTTAACTTATATTGAAAAAAATCTATATTAATAATAGGATATTGGAGATATCATTCTACCACTTTATGAAAAAACTTCTAAAAAAAGGTAAATAGAAGATTAATATAAATATTATGTAAGATAATTAAAGAATAAAGTTGATTTAAAAAAAAATTATAGTCTGAGTTTGCAAGCTAATTAAGAAATGGGGAACTATTGTAATGCATTTNATTTTGTCTTCAGATTATTCTCTACTTTATTGTATTAAAATCCTTTAACCAATTATTAAATAGTAAGATAAAAATAGAAAATTTAATAAAGTGTTATTACAAAGAAGAAAATTAATCTCTTCATAATTGATAAAAAAAGTTAAAGATGATAACAATTAATTGGTCTAAATTAAAAGCTAAATTATTCAGCAATTCAAATACTAAATAGATTAAAAATAGAAATTAATTGCTTAAATATTAAATTTAAATAGAGAATTTATCAATAATTATAAAATTTATTTTAAACTATAAAATCTAATATTGGTTAGAAATCCACTTCATAAAATGTTAAATAAAACTAGATAAAATTTACTAAAAGATATCCTAATTATAAGAAGAGTATAGAATAAAACTGGTTGAAAAAAGAATTATAATCTAAGCTTGAAAGCTAGTAACGATATAGAAAATTATTTTAATACATTTAGAAGTGAGAGGAGATGGAAATTGTTTCTATGCAGCTTTTAGATATTATTTTTATTAATGTTAATATTTGATTATTCTGTTGAATAGTTCTATTATTTCATAGAGAAAATCAATAAATTAAATTATCAATAATGAAAATATGTATTAGTATTTTAGTTAGATTAATTAAATTAAAATAAATTGAAGAAATACATTCAACAAATCTTAGAAGTGATATAAATAAAAACCTAAAGAAACTCAGGCCTAAAGTTATGACATATTAATTTTGATAGAATAACAATAAATATTAAAAAAATTGTTTAATCAAAAAATCTTTTTCTTATTCAACTTAGAAAAATTCCTTCATATTTTCCAAATTTCAATTGAAAAAGTGATATTATAATGAATTTATTCGAACATTAATATTAAAAAAAATTTATTCGTTTTTTAATTTTTTTTTTCTCTTGAAACAATGTTTTTCACATTTTAAGAAGTTTTATTGGTTTTACTTAAAATAATAGAATTACAGATGATAATTGGATATAAAGAAAACTTTTTATATTAAATTAATATTTTTATTATATGACCTTTTTTTGGAGTGAGCTAATAGCCATAATTTTCATAATTGCTTTATTTATCTGGTTAATTGTTTTGACTCTTAAAATTTTAAACATAGAAAAGAAAAAACTTTCTAAAAAAAAACAGAAAAATGAAGATAAAGGATTTGAAATAAAGCCAGAAGAAAACTAAAATAATTAAGCAAATGATGATCCTGAAATATAATAGTATGTTTATATTAATAATGATAGATTATTATTAGAGGAATAAGATAGAAATAAAGAGTAAATAGCATTAGATGTTGGATAAAATATTCTAAAAAAAAAACAATAGATAAATCAAAATAGTTAAAACAAAGAAATAAAAAGTTAATTTTAAAATTTATAAGAAATAGAACTCTTAGGTATTAAATATAAGAAATTTAAAAGATTAAAAAATATAAATAGATAAGCTATAAAAATAGTTGGAAAATTTATAAGAGCTAATACAATCTTTATAGGTGGATAAAAATTAATATGAAACATTAAACAAATAAATACTAGATATAAAAGCACTGATTAAAATTTAAAATATCCACAATTACTCATAGCATTTAAGTGACATTCATGCAAGGTTAACTTATATTGAAAAAAATCTATATTAATAATAGGATATTGGAGATATCATTCTACCACTTTATGAAAAAACTTCTAAAAAAAGGTAAATAGAAGATTAATATAAATATTATGTAAGATAATTAAAGAATAAAGTTGATTTAAAAAAAAATTATAGTCTGAGTTTGCAAGCTAATTAAGAAATGGGGAACTATTGTAATGCATTTAAAGAAGTCAGAGGAGATGGAAATTGTTTCTACACTGCTTTTGGATATTAATTTTTATCAATTTTACTATTTGATTATTCTATTGATTAATTCTATAAATTCATAGAGAAAATCAAATAAATTAATTTACCAATGAAAATATATGTGACTGGACAAGATTTTAAAATAGATGATAAATTATTAGAAGAAAAGCTTTTAAAAGAATTTTTGAATAGATTAATGAAATTAAAATAAATTCAAGATTTAGTGTAAAGAAAAGAACAATTTCATAATTAATTTGCAGCTTATGAAAAATAATCAGAAGAAGTTGATGCATGTTTATATGGACTATCAACTATATTTTTTAGAAATTATTCCAATTATATTGTTGATTTTAGTGAAAAAAAAGATGCCCTTTATGATAGAGAGAATCTTTTAAAGTGGGAAGAAGAATGCAATTCAAATGAAGTTATTATTGCAGAATTAGCTAAACAATTAAATATGTTTTTATTTAATATATACTTTTAGATTTGTTTAATTGATATTTATTGAAAATAAAGATTAGCTTAAAAAATTCTAATATGGAAATGAACAACACAATAAGATAATATTATTAATCAAACCTGGCCATTATAATATTGGTTATTTTATCTAAGAAACAATCAANTTAATACATTTAGAAGTGAGAGGAGATGGAAATTGTTTCTATGCAGCTTTTAGATATTATTTTTATTAATGTTAATATTTGATTATTCTGTTGAATAGTTCTATTATTTCATAGAGAAAATCAATAAATTAAATTATCAATAATGAAAATATGTATTAGTATTTTAGTTAGATTAATTAAATTAAAATAAATTGAAGAAATACATTCAACAAATCTTAGAAGTGATATAAATAAAAACCTAAAGAAACTCAGGCCTAAAGTTATGACATATTAATTTTGATAGAATAACAATAAATATTAAAAAAATTGTTTAATCAAAAAATCTTTTTCTTATTCAACTTAGAAAAATTCCTTCATATTTTCCAAATTTCAATTGAAAAAGTGATATTATAATGAATTTATTCGAACATTAATATTAAAAAAAATTTATTCGTTTTTTAATTTTTTTTTTCTCTTGAAACAATGTTTTTCACATTTTAAGAAGTTTTATTGGTTTTACTTAAAATAATAGAATTACAGATGATAATTGGATATAAAGAAAACTTTTTATATTAAATTAATATTTTTATTATATGACCTTTTTTTGGAGTGAGCTAATAGCCATAATTTTCATAATTGCTTTATTTATCTGGTTAATTGTTTTGACTCTTAAAATTTTAAACATAGAAAAGAAAAAACTTTCTAAAAAAAAACAGAAAAATGAAGATAAAGGATTTGAAATAAAGCCAGAAGAAAACTAAAATAATTAAGCAAATGATGATCCTGAAATATAATAGTATGTTTATATTAATAATGATAGATTATTATTAGAGGAATAAGATAGAAATAAAGAGTAAATAGCATTAGATGTTGGATAAAATATTCTAAAAAAAAAACAATAGATAAATCAAAATAGTTAAAACAAAGAAATAAAAAGTTAATTTTAAAATTTATAAGAAATAGAACTCTTAGGTATTAAATATAAGAAATTTAAAAGATTAAAAAATATAAATAGATAAGCTATAAAAATAGTTGGAAAATTTATAAGAGCTAATACAATCTTTATAGGTGGATAAAAATTAATATGAAACATTAAACAAATAAATACTAGATATAAAAGCACTGATTAAAATTTAAAATATCCACAATTACTCATAGCATTTAAGTGACATTCATGCAAGGTTAACTTATATTGAAAAAAATCTATATTAATAATAGGATATTGGAGATATCATTCTACCACTTTATGAAAAAACTTCTAAAAAAAGGTAAATAGAAGATTAATATAAATATTATGTAAGATAATTAAAGAATAAAGTTGATTTAAAAAAAAATTATAGTCTGAGTTTGCAAGCTAATTAAGAAATGGGGAACTATTGTAATGCATTTAAAGAAGTCAGAGGAGATGGAAATTGTTTCTACACTGCTTTTGGATATTAATTTTTATCAATTTTACTATTTGATTATTCTATTGATTAATTCTATAAATTCATAGAGAAAATCAAATAAATTAATTTACCAATGAAAATATATGTGACTGGACAAGATTTTAAAATAGATGATAAATAATTAGAAGAAAAGCTTTTAAAAGAATTTTTGAATAGATTAATGAAATTAAAATAAATTCAAGATTTAGTGTAAAGAAAAGAACAATTTCATAATTAATTTGCAGCTTATGAAAAATAATCAGAAGAAGTTGATGCATGTTTATATGGACTATCAACTATATTTTTTAGAAATTATTCCAATTATATTGTTGATTTTAGTGAAAAAAAAGATGCCCTTTATGATAGAGAGAATCTTTTAAAGTGGGAAGAAGAATGCAATTCAAATGAAGTTATTATTGCAGAATTAGCTAAACAATTAAATATGTTTTTATTTAATATATACTTTTAGATTTGTTTAATTGATATTTATTGAAAATAAAGATTAGCTTAAAAAATTCTAATATGGAAATGAACAACACAATAAGATAATATTATTAATCAAACCTGGCCATTATAATATTGGTTATTTTATCTAAGAAACAATCAATATGGCTAATTCTTTTGAAAAACCATAATAATACGTACTTTAACAATTAACTTTTAGGATTAAGATAAATAAAGTAATAATGAGTTGGACAGCTAAAAATAAGAAGAATATAAATGAAATTTAAATAAAAAAAAATATTAAAATTTAGATGATTTCAAATTTAATATATTTCAAGAATAATTATTATTTTAAAAAATCATTTCATTTAGGTTTTAAATTCTAAAGATAATTAAAATCTATCCTTCTTTTTCCATTTGTCTATCATGTTGAACAGCTCTCAATCAATTAGAATTATTAAATTTAATATTAATAATGCTATGATTTATTAGAATAAAGAATAAAAATTTTTATCTTTCAAACCTAAAAAATATACTTTTTCATAGCTGTATGTTTATTTTATTAAATTATATTGTTCATCAAAATTTATATATTAAATATAAAATCCAGATATCTGAAACATAACCTCAAAACCTATTTCACTTAAGAATATTTACACAATAATTGTTTTATAATGTAGAAAAATTTTTAAACTTTATGCAGCATCTTTTTTATAAATTTATCATATGATAATTTATAATCTAGACTAAATTATTAGCAATAATAATATCAATTTCAATAGTCAAATTTTATCAAAATTATTTCTAAACTGCTTTGAGTTAAGAATTGTTCTCATTTTTAATTTTATCTTGTGCTTAATATTAGCGATGAAGATTGATGTTAAAAAATAAAAAGAATCAATTTAATTACAAGTTTAAACTGTAAGCCTCTTACTAAATTTATATGAATTTAGAAGTATATTTTTAGAAGATCTTCCAAATATAAGAAATTAATTTTGATTACTAACAATTGTATTAAAAAACTTATATATTGCACTATTGATATGATATTTTTCAAAAGGAATTATAAATTTTTGATAAATTATATAATAAATAATACTTCAAATTAAATTTATCAATTATTTACAAACCTTCTCTTAAAAATTTATAATCGTATAGCTTTTCTTCCTTAACCGAACAGACATTAAGTTTTTTCAAGCGAGTAAAAACCAATTAGATGAGAGTATCAGTTAAAGAAATTGATTCAAAAATTATTGAATTTTTGCTCTTATCTATTCTAAAAAAGAAATAAAACACGATATTGATAAAATTTTGTTTAGCCATTATTATACAATTAAGTCATGCTAATTTTCTTAAACATCCTTTTATTGAATAAACTTTAATTGATTCAAAATATAATAGATTAATTTATATTTATTTCTCTGAAATAAGTAATTAATTTAATTCAAATTTTTATTAATTGAAAAATAATTCTAAAATAATTTTAATTGATTAAAAAATCTTCTATAAATATAATAAAGATTTGATGCACGATCAAATTATTAATATAATTAGATTAAAAGGAACTTTTGCTCGACAAAAAGATTGCAATTAATTTTTAAATTATTCAAATTCTTCATAATCTTTTTGCTTTGATGAAATGAAACATGATAAGATAAAATCCTGATTTAGTTCTTTAATTTAGCAATATAAATTTTAATAAATATAATTATTAATTTTTTCTGATAGAATTAGAAAAATGGAATATTGGATTATTGGTGGTGCAATTGCTATAGTTTTATGTATTATTGGTATTGGTACCCTTTTTTATAAATGTAAAAAGAATGCAGATAAAGATGATAAGCTTTTAGATAGTACATAAATTATTCAATAATAAGAGTAATAAGAAATGTTACCTTTTAGTTAAGATATGAAGTGCAATGAATAAAACTAATAATAAATGAACTATTATTAAGATAAAAATAAAGCCAGATAACCCTAGAATAATAATACATCTTAAAGGTAAAATGAATAAACAAAAAAAAAAGCAAATTCAGAAGATAGTAGAAATAAGAATAAAAATTGTTCAAATCCTATTTCATCAACAAGTCAAGATAATAAACCAAAACAAGAATAGGATGAGGTGAGATTGGAAATTAATTCTCCAAAAAATAATGATTAAGTTCTAAATTAACCAAAAACAATGAGCTCAAACAATATTGATAAAGATTGTATTATTAAAATAGATTAAGATGGTAATTAAGAATAATAAAATCAACAAGAACAATAAGATCACAATTAATATAAAAGTTAGCATTAAGATTAAACATAATAATAACCATGTATACCTCAATAATCAAATATCTAAGAAAAAATAGAAATTAATACTAACATAGATTAAAAAGTGAAATAAGAATAATAAATTCCACAAATACAATAAGATATATATTAAAATTAAACATATTTATAGTCCAATATTGCACAAAAACCTAATATTTTAGAAAAAATAGAAATGCTTTCTGAAATAAATAATTTTAACAATTTAGAATCATTAATTTAATCAGTAAAAAAAGATATATGTTAAAAAGAAAATTAATTTTAATTAAATTCTGAAGTTGTTCCAAAAATATCGTTTAAACCAAAAATTGAAATAATATTTGAAGTAGATTAGTCGAATACTTTAAATAATTCAGAAAATAAAATAAGATATGATTCAAAAAGGCCAAAACCAGATGATATAATTATTCCCCTCGCACCAAATCCTCCTCCAAATTCCGAGGATATTGGAGATATGATTCTACCACTTTATGAAAAAACTTCTAAAAAAAGGTAAATAGAAGATTAATATAAATATTATGTAAGATAATTAAAGAATAAAGTTGATTTAAAAAAGAATTATAGTCTGAGTTTGCAAGCTAATAAAGAAATGGGGAACTATTGTAATGCATTTAGAGAAGTCAGAGGAGATGGAAATTGTTTCTACACTGCTTTTGGATATTAATTTTTATCAATTTTACTATTTGATTATTCTATTGATTAATTCTATAAATTCATAGAGAAAATCAAATAAATTAATTTACCAATGAAAATATATGTGACTGGACAAGATTTTAAAATAGATGATAAATTATTAGAAGAAAAGCTTTTAAAAGAATTTTTGAATAGATTAATGAAATTAAAATAAATTCAAGATTTAGTGTAAAGAAAAGAACAATTTCATAATTAATTTGCAGCTTATGAAAAATAATCAGAAGAAGTTGATGCATGTTTATATGGACTATCAACTATATTTTTTAGAAATTATTCCAATTATATTGTTGATTTTAGTGAAAAAAAAGATGCCCTTTATGATAGAGAGAATCTTTTAAAGTGGGAAGAAGAATGCAATTCAAATGAAGTTATTATTGCAGAATTAGCTAAACAATTAAATATGTTTTTATTTAATATATACTTTTAGATTTGTTTAATTGATATTTATTGAAAATAAAGATTAGCTTAAAAAATTCTAATATGGAAATGAACAACACAATAAGATAATATTATTAATCAAACCTGGCCATTATAATATTGGTTATTTTATCTAAGAAACAATCAATATTTGAAAACAGAATTAAGAAAACTAAAATAAAATTATTATCATAATGAATTTTTAATTTATTAAAATAATGTAAAACTAAATTTTCTTAATCTATGCTCAGCTACGACAGTAATTTACTATATAGATATGATTTTTTTCATAAATTATATTTAAATAAGGTTTTGAAAGAATAATTTATAGATATTGTGAAAAAAAAACATCAAAATACATTGATTGATAAATATTGTTTCTAGACGAGAATTCAAATAATTGAAAAATGAGAGACTATTAAGAAAAAAAAAAGATACACAGCTATATAATATTTGATTTAATGTGATTAATTCGATGATATTTTTAATTTTTGTAAGAGCTTAAGATTTACCTATCGTTTAAATAGTGTTGCCTTTTTAATCTAAGGAATACTCAAAAATTTTAGAAAAGAAATAGGTAATATTTACAATGTAAAATTAGATTCCTTACGCTGGATGTAAGCCTTAGATCATATCCACTAATTAATTATTAACTTAATTATCTAATATAAGTTCTGTGAAATATTGAAGGGAATATCAATGTAAAATCATAGGCTATTACTTAAGAAGGATACTGGTTGGAGATGGTTGATAAAATAGTTATATGCTGAGACTCATATATATAAAATTATATTTAATTATTACAGAAATAAAGGATTAGAAAATTTTATGATATAAGTACATAAAAATATTTTAGAAATTTTATATTTAAAAATCTACAATTCATTTTTCAACTGCCTGATTGATATTGCTATATAATTGATATAAATTTTTGGATTAACATCCACAACTTAGAAATTCATTTTTGTCCCATAAATTTATTATTAAAATTCACAAAATCGTGTTTATGGACTAAAGAACGCCAATTCAAAGGCTAATAGAAGAATTAAACTAGGGATCCTGTGTTTAATTGCTAGAAGTGGCAAATAAATCAATGCGAATAAACACCAAACATTTAAATAACGAAAGCAATNATTCTACCACTTTATGAAAAAACTTCTAAAAAAAGGTAAATAGAAGATTAATATAAATATTATGTAAGATAATTAAAGAATAAAGTTGATTTAAAAAAAAATTATAGTCTGAGTTTGCAAGCTAATTAAGAAATGGGGAACTATTGTAATGCATTTAAAGAAGTCAGAGGAGATGGAAATTGTTTCTACACTGCTTTTGGATATTAATTTTTATCAATTTTACTATTTGATTATTCTATTGATTAATTCTATAAATTCATAGAGAAAATCAAATAAATTAATTTACCAATGAAAATATATGTGACTGGACAAGATTTTAAAATAGATGATAAATTATTAGAAGAAAAGCTTTTAAAAGAATTTTTGAATAGATTAATGAAATTAAAATAAATTCAAGATTTAGTGTAAAGAAAAGAACAATTTCATAATTAATTTGCAGCTTATGAAAAATAATCAGAAGAAGTTGATGCATGTTTATATGGACTATCAACTATATTTTTTAGAAATTATTCCAATTATATTGTTGATTTTAGTGAAAAAAAAGATGCCCTTTATGATAGAGAGAATCTTTTAAAGTGGGAAGAAGAATGCAATTCAAATGAAGTTATTATTGCAGAATTAGCTAAACAATTAAATATGTTTTTATTTAATATATACTTTTAGATTTGTTTAATTGATATTTATTGAAAATAAAGATTAGCTTAAAAAATTCTAATATGGAAATGAACAACACAATAAGATAATATTATTAATCAAACCTGGCCATTATAATATTGGTTATTTTATCTAAGAAACAATCAATATTTGAAAACAGAATTAAGAAAACTAAAATAAAATTATTATCATAATGAATTTTTAATTTATTAAAATAATGTAAAACTAAATTTTCTTAATCTATGCTCAGCTACGACAGTAATTTACTATATAGATATGATTTTTTTCATAAATTATATTTAAATAAGGTTTTGAAAGAATAATTTATAGATATTGTGAAAAAAAAACATCAAAATACATTGATTGATAAATATTGTTTCTAGACGAGAATTCAAATAATTGAAAAATGAGAGACTATTAAGAAAAAAAAAAGATACACAGCTATATAATATTTGATTTAATGTGATTAATTCGATGATATTTTTAATTTTTGTAAGAGCTTAAGATTTACCTATCGTTTAAATAGTGTTGCCTTTTTAATCTAAGGAATACTCAAAAATTTTAGAAAAGAAATAGGTAATATTTACAATGTAAAATTAGATTCCTTACGCTGGATGTAAGCCTTAGATCATATCCACTAATTAATTATTAACTTAATTATCTAATATAAGTTCTGTGAAATATTGAAGGGAATATCAATGTAAAATCATAGGCTATTACTTAAGAAGGATACTGGTTGGAGATGGTTGATAAAATAGTTATATGCTGAGACTCATATATATAAAATTATATTTAATTATTACAGAAATAAAGGATTAGAAAATTTTATGATATAAGTACATAAAAATATTTTAGAAATTTTATATTTAAAAATCTACAATTCATTTTTCAACTGCCTGATTGATATTGCTATATAATTGATATAAATTTTTGGATTAACATCCACAACTTAGAAATTCATTTTTGTCCCATAAATTTATTATTAAAATTCACAAAATCGTGTTTATGGACTAAAGAACGCCAATTCAAAGGCTAATAGAAGAATTAAACTAGGGATCCTGTGTTTAATTGCTAGAAGTGGCAAATAAATCAATGCGAATAAACACCAAACATTTAAATAACGAAAGCAATCTTGCTATAATTATTTAGGTGAAGAATTAGAATGTCAATTCTAAATAAATAAGAAAATTAAAGGAAAATTACAAGAAAATTATTATATTCAATTATAATAAATAATAAGATTTTTAAGAAGCCTCACAGCTATTAAAAGTACTTAAAGACCATTAATAATATCCCTTTACAAGATTTTATCTACTTTATGCAGAAGGAAAATATCAATAAGTTGTAANATATTTGAAAACAGAATTAAGAAAACTAAAATAAAATTATTATCATAATGAATTTTTAATTTATTAAAATAATGTAAAACTAAATTTTCTTAATCTATGCTCAGCTACGACAGTAATTTACTATATAGATATGATTTTTTTCATAAATTATATTTAAATAAGGTTTTGAAAGAATAATTTATAGATATTGTGAAAAAAAAACATCAAAATACATTGATTGATAAATATTGTTTCTAGACGAGAATTCAAATAATTGAAAAATGAGAGACTATTAAGAAAAAAAAAAGATACACAGCTATATAATATTTGATTTAATGTGATTAATTCGATGATATTTTTAATTTTTGTAAGAGCTTAAGATTTACCTATCGTTTAAATAGTGTTGCCTTTTTAATCTAAGGAATACTCAAAAATTTTAGAAAAGAAATAGGTAATATTTACAATGTAAAATTAGATTCCTTACGCTGGATGTAAGCCTTAGATCATATCCACTAATTAATTATTAACTTAATTATCTAATATAAGTTCTGTGAAATATTGAAGGGAATATCAATGTAAAATCATAGGCTATTACTTAAGAAGGATACTGGTTGGAGATGGTTGATAAAATAGTTATATGCTGAGACTCATATATATAAAATTATATTTAATTATTACAGAAATAAAGGATTAGAAAATTTTATGATATAAGTACATAAAAATATTTTAGAAATTTTATATTTAAAAATCTACAATTCATTTTTCAACTGCCTGATTGATATTGCTATATAATTGATATAAATTTTTGGATTAACATCCACAACTTAGAAATTCATTTTTGTCCCATAAATTTATTATTAAAATTCACAAAATCGTGTTTATGGACTAAAGAACGCCAATTCAAAGGCTAATAGAAGAATTAAACTAGGGATCCTGTGTTTAATTGCTAGAAGTGGCAAATAAATCAATGCGAATAAACACCAAACATTTAAATAACGAAAGCAATCTTGCTATAATTATTTAGGTGAAGAATTAGAATGTCAATTCTAAATAAATAAGAAAATTAAAGGAAAATTACAAGAAAATTATTATATTCAATTATAATAAATAATAAGATTTTTAAGAAGCCTCACAGCTATTAAAAGTACTTAAAGACCATTAATAATATCCCTTTACAAGATTTTATCTACTTTATGCAGAAGGAAAATATCAATAAGTTGTAATAAAATTATATTTGAAAAAAATACTTATAATCCTTATATTTAAAAATAATAAAAATTGAAAAAGCCAAAATAAATTTAAAGAGAGGAACATAAACTCTTCAAGTTTTATTCTATGCTTTAATGTTTATCATGTATATAAAATATTGAAAGTAGGATTATTTTTCTTTAATTCTTAAAGATCTTAATTAATAATATTAATAAACAAAATTTATCTGATATTTTTTACATACATATTCTAATTTGATAAAATATATTAAGAGAATGGTATAAAGGTATTAATTCATATTATTTGTTTGTATAATTATTGATAATTTATTCTTTTGCTTGCTTATGTTATCCTAGAATTAAAAAATAGAATGTCGTATTCATCATTCTGAAGCAATAGCAATTAATTTACACCCTAACACTGAATAGCAAGAAATTATTTAGTGCATATATTGTTTGATTGGAAATTTATGCAGATCGATTATTCCATTAAAGGACATTAAAAAGTTAGTTGAGAATTTTTTAACCTTAAAATAGTAAGAAAATTATGAGGTTAATCAAATAAAACGATTTTATTTGAGCAAACTATTAGAAAAATTGACTACAATAAAGAAAGAGATCATAAATTTATTAGATAATGGAATCAATATAATAAAAGCTCAAGAAGTAGAGGATGAATCGATTAATTAATAAGAAGAATGGAATATAAGTTAAATTGATCAAATCAAATAGATTATTTTAGATTATTAGTACAGTTACAGTTAGCAGTAAAATAAATTAAATGATTTGAGGTGGATATAATCTCTATCTGAAGAGCTTCAATAGATTAATAAATTTCAAGAAATTTAAAATTGTATAGACCTTTTGGGAGATTTCAAAAAGGAGTATTAAACTAAAAAAGAACTTTACCAAATCGATAAATTATTATAAAATAAATCTGATTAATAAATATTTAGAGATTTTTCTAATAATTAAACCCCGAAATTAAATATACTTTGTAAAAATCACCAAAAAGAAATAATAATGATAGATATGAATTAGAATATAGATAAATCAATGAGATTATGTTGTATAGAATGTATGCCAGAAAAATATTTGTCTTTAACCTAATGTAAAAAAAGTTGGAATCTAATCAAATAAAAAGAGAGAATATACCTTTAATAATAAATGATTGATATGGAATCTCAATATAATTAAGTGAGAGATTAGAATAAGAATATAGAATTATAAATTATAGAAAAAATAAAAGGATTGAGAATATAATTTGAAGATTATTTATCAAATAAGAAAATAAAGATATTTACTAATATTAATATAGAAGATGAAGATTGGGTAAATTTAACTTAGGAAGAAGTATTAGAAAGAGCAGAAATACTGAGTAAAACAGAAGAGTCTTAAGATAAAATGATTCAAAGTGAATATCAGTAAATTTGTGATTAAGTTTTGTAATAATTGTATGAATAGTATAAAGAGTTGAAAATTCAATAATAGTATTTATTTGATAATTTAAGATTAACACTATGTCATTCTTAAGATATGAGTAAATCAGAAAGCTCTTCAGAGTAAAATTGTATTAATTCATTCAAAACTGGTAAAGAATCACAAGAATAGATTTTTTTTAAATCTTTCGAGATTGGAGCTGATAACATTTAAATAAAGAATAGGGATGATGAGAACTTTTCATCACCTAAAAATAATAAATATAATGAAAAAAAAAATGATAAGGAGTTTATTAAGTATGAAGATAATATTTCATCATAATATAAAATTATTGGTGAATATAATTAAGAATAAAATTGTTATGCAATATCTTTTAATTTTGATTCAACAATAATGATTAGCGGATGTTAAAATGATATAATTGTTTGGGAATTCAAAAGTGAGAAATTATAGTAAATATAAAATCTTTAAGGTCATTCAAATTAAGTAATTTCACTTTAATTTAGTGCTAATAAAAATGAATTTGTTTCTGGTAGCACAGATAAAACAATTCGTTTTTGGTAATAAACCAATAATCTTTGGATATGTTAATAAGTGCTTCTTGGACATAAAAGATAAATTGATTGTTTATTGATGAGTAATATGGATAATCAAATATTATCATGTAGTTGTGATAAAACAATAAGAATTTGGAGAATAAACCAATAGTCATAATGGATCCAAATTTAAACTCTTACAAATCATTCTGCTTATGTTAGATGTATTAGTTTAAATAAATCATAAAATTAATTTGTATCATGCGGAGAAGATAAAATGATATTAATTTGGGAATTCAATAAATCTTAGCTTTGGAATTTAAAATAAAGTATCCAAAACGATGATTATGGTTACAGAATCTGTTTTATTGGTGATCTAAAAATAGCTTGGCAACCAAGAAATTAGAATAAAACATTATTTTATGAATATGATACAAACAAATAGTAATTTGTACTTGAGAAACATCAAATAATATTGTAAGAATCTAATGAGGGTTACTAAAACTTCTTTCCTTCAATTTATAATGATTAAAAAGAGGTTTTAATAAATAAACATGGACAATTTGTATACATTTTGAAAATGAATATGTAAAATACTTTAGAGATAACTCAAATCATAGATGTAGGTCATTATTGTAATTATGGTTCATTAACTTAAGATGGCAAATTTTTGGTAATATGGGATGAAAAATCAAAATGTTTATTAATCAGATAATCAACATTTTGAATAATTTTGATTTTCATATATATACGTTTTCATATTTTCAGATCAACTTAAAATTCACATCATAAATAGGGTTTAAGTTGTTACTGAATAGAAACAAATAATTGCATTTTTATATTTAAAATTCTTTGTTTCAATATTGTTAATCAAAATGATTATAATTGATTGTGGATTTATTTGGATTACACTTTATGTAATCCTTATTAATAATTATTCTAAAGAAACTCAGAATGGGAACGTGTTAATTTGTACCTTAGAATCAAGTCAAACAGGAAAGTCAAAGCATTCTTGAAGCATCCTCTTCATAATATATTGTTTAATTGAAACTCACTCCTCTTGTAAGTAACATAACTGGTGACGATGATAAAATGGATGATTTAAACTTCGATATTGAAAAATAAATCTCTTTTAAATAAGTATAAGAAATATATTATTATAGGAGAAAGTATAAGTTGATATTCAGTCCAGTCAACTCCAATTTTCCTCAAAATTATAATTAACAAATGATCCATCTTCTTAATCATTGGATCAATCTTAATAGATTTAAAAGTCCCCGAGAAAAAATAAAAATCTAAATGCCAAATTTAAAGAGATGATTCTTTGAAGTTACAGCAAGAAAGTTTAATAATTTGATGATAAATGATATATATTACTAATTTATCCTTAAAGAATAATTATTATATGAAAGCTTGAATAACTCTTTTAAATAAGTTGCTCCATTAAATTAATTAAAATGTTGATTATAAGTTACCTCTTAAATATATATAATTATTTTAATTAAACTAGAAATAAAATCTTAATTAAAATAACATGAGGTATTTTTTTCACACTATCATTTGCAAATAAAACAAATTTAATATTTTTAATCATATAAAATTACTTAATAAGGCAGATGATATAATTTGAAGAAACAAAAGAAAATATATTTTTATAAGTACATAAAAATATGAACAGAAACTATATACTTAATTCTTATACTTCAAATTAATTTTGAATTAGTTTTAATAAAAAATAAGAATTTAGCTATGTTATAATATATTATTATATTTAATGTAATCTAATTTTTGGTGGAAGATAACGAAAAAAGAATAAATTAAGTTGGTACTTTCAGCATTTTTTGGAGCAATAATATGTCTTTTATCAACAACAATAGGAAATTTTATTTTGATTGAGATTAGATTCAATATATTATTTTCAGCTGTAAATTTTTAGATTATGTAGAAAGTATTTTGGATTCACATTTATATTAACTGGTGTCTATATATTACTTAAAACTAGAATTTTAATGAATACAAATTGTGATACTTAATGGACCTTAAAACAAAAATATTTAATCTATTTTGCTAGTGTAATAATTGCATCAGGGATTATATGTTTTTGCTTATATTTTGATTAAGAATGGTAAAGCTGTTGAATAGTATAGGCATAAAGGATTGAATTATTTTATCAAGATTCCTTTATATGTAATTTTAGGAGTATCTTTGAGTTCATCAATAAGTTATTTAACAATTGACTTAATAAATTTTTTGGTTGGTTTAACACAATAAGTCTAATCAAGAACTATTGTGGAAACACCAAATTAGATTATTTCGTTTATATTTATAAGTTCACTGATTGGGTTCCTATAAGGATTATTATTTAGCTCTTTGGATATTGAAGTATGTGAACATTTTTTTTAATTAGGATGTGGAAAATAAAAATATTTCATTTAGATTAGTTTTGTTTGAAGAAATATTATTAATACCTTTTATTTTAGTTTTAGGCAGCATAGGAGGATTTTTTAATGAATATTTAAGATTAAAAGGTAGTCATTTGTAATCATATACATTTGAACCAATAAATGATCCATTTACAGATGAAATTTGATTATTTATTTTATTTTTATAAATAATATGAGAACTATCTTTTTTGGAAGTGGTTTGTTTCCTTTACCTATATTTCAAAGATTGCATAAATTGACAGCAATAGATCCTAAAGTGAGTTTAATCACAGTACCTAATCATTCACATAAGGAGAAAAATTAAATTAAAGATTATGCTTCATAATAACAATTTAGTAAATTTTCTATATTTAAAAAGAAATTTATTAACCAAATTTATCTGATAAAAGCATTAGTTTTGTAAATGAAATACAAGATCAACCAGATTTAGGGATTGTATGCAATTATGGATACATGATTCCAAGTCAGATTATTGATATTTTTAAGAAGGGAGTTTATGTGATTCATCCTTCTTTATTGCCAAAATATAGAGGAGCAGCTCCAATTCAAAGAGCTATTTTGAATGATGAATAAAAAACAGGTGTGTCATTTATTGAAATTTCAAAGAATAAGTAATTATATATGAATATCTAGAGATTTGATGCAGGTGCAATCTTATTGAAGAAAGAATTAGATATTCTTGCAGTAGATAGATATAAAGAATTATCTTAGAAATTATCTTAATTGACAGCAGATTCAATTGAAGAATTTATTAATAATATTGATAATTTTGAAAGATTAAGTTAGAATGCAAGTGAAACAACTAAAGCCCCTAAAATTACTCAAGCAGATTTAAAAGTGGATTTCAATAACACAGCTACTAAAATTTATAATTAATATAGAGCAATTTATGGGACTAATTTCCATAGTTTGAAATTGAAATATCAAGAGAGAGAATTCTATTTAGAGAACATTACATTGATAAATGACTTAGAAGAAGAACATCTAAAATTATATAATGGAGTTGAGAATGGTACAATATGGTTAATAAGGAACAAACAATTTAAAAACTATTTCTACATTAAATGTAATGAGAATAGTTGGATAAGAGTTTAAGAATTTAGATTTTGTGATAGAGGAAGTAGTTAAGCTGCTTATACCTTTAAGAACTAATTCTTGATGAATTTCAAATTTGATAGTTTGGATAACTATTTCAAGTTAAATTATTGAGTATATATATTTATATAACTATTCGAATACATAGTATAATTAAAAATATGCACGATTATAAGTATCCAAAGATTGATGCTAAGCATTTTCATTATCACAATGATGGCACTGGAAGGTTAAACTATGATAATTTTTTAGGGATCAGTACGTAAAACATATAAATGGTGGTTTATTATCTTAAAAGATGATAAGTTCACTTGATTTGTCTCCGAAGGCTGATTACACTAAGATGATATTCCCTAAAACTGCAACAAAGTAAATTCAATCGTAAATTGATAGTTCTCGAAGTAGAGGATTGCTTCCTCCTTAACATTAAAGAATTTAGCATTATTTTGGTGATGGAAAAGGGAGAGATTTTTTTGTAACGATTAATGATGGTGGATAAGTTCAATTAAAAAGTTGGAAAGATCATCCAGATGAAGCATTTCCATCCCAATTACGAAAATATGGAAGAGAATACTCTCAACCTGATTGTGTTAAGTACTTGATGTCAAATAATACAAAATTATAATAATTGACAGAAACGATGAGATTAAGATAGAACGAGTTTACTAAACACATTAGTGCTCCTAAGAAATAATCAAGTCCTTAATTATAGAGTTTTATTCCAGATTTAAAGGAAGGTGGTAAATATCAGACATACCAATAACTGAAATACTAGAGTAAAGCATGTTCTTTTGCAGAATGATACATAATTTGATAAATCATATCCTCAAACGCACCTAATTTTGAGATATCAATCTTTAGATGACAGGGTTATCAATATGATTGGATAATTCTTCTCCATACAATTCAATGAACATTGAAGCTTTCTTGGGGAGAGTGCAATAACATATCTTTTCAGTAGGTTCTGAGTTTTCAAGAGATTCAAGTTCTTTGATAACATCTTTGACATTATTCTTGGTAACTTCGACAAGTTTTGTATTGATAAGGCAGATTCTAGAATAAATGAATAAAATACTCTTTAGTTTCAGAAACAGGTGGTTTAGGAGTCGGAGTAACAGGAGGAGGAACATTGATATCTAAGAGAAAGATATAAATAATATAATACCTTCAGGGAAGACAGGTCTAGAGGCTCCACCACATAGATTCATTCTGAATTTACCAATATGGCCATTCCATGAAGGATAGAAACGATCTTTACCAATATTCAAGTAGACTTAGGGTACTAAATAATGGTTGACATTTTCAAAGAGTATGGTTTCTTTTCTATCTTTAAATTGAATATATCCTTCTACTTTTCTGGTATCTCTGTTATATGCATAGAATATGAAATGCCAATTAGTTTATTGTTGTTTTTATGGAACAATTTTGGCAAGATTTGGATCTCCAGCTCCATTTAGATTCTTGTAAGAATAAGTAGTAAATGCATAAATGCCATCTTATGCTGGTGAAACCCAAGCAGCCAAAGTTCTATCTCCCAATCTTTCAGCATTTTTATTAGTCTCCTCTTTGTTAATATGGAGACGAAAAGCTAAATGCCATTATTCCATGGTTGTTTATTTCCACTTGAACCAACCAGATACACTATATTCAGATGGAAAAGCAGCTGCTGGATCAGATGGAATTTCTAATACTGTAGCTTTGGCAACTTCAAACTTCTTGGATTCTTGAATAAGAACTTATTCAACTGCTTTAGAACATACTTCTTTTGGTTGAGGATTACAAGCCAAAGCAAACTTATTCAATTCATCAACAGTATCAAGATGAGCACCTGCACCAATCTTGAATACTGCTCTTGTTAATTAACCATTGATAGTTGGATACAATTTTAAATCTGATCCTCCAATAATGAGTCTTAAATATGTTGGTTTGTCATGAGTTACATCAAATGTTACTGATTATGGTTCTTTTCCTGTGTATTTAACAAAACCTACTGCTTGACTAGTTATACTGCTGTAACTAAAATAAATATAAGTCCAAACACCTTCGATATCTCCATATTCTATATTTTTATTGAAATTCCAATTATTACTCTTATAATCATTTGTAATAAAAGTGTATGCTCCTTATCCTTACCAGATTGCCAATAATCTATCTCCCTTTTCAACATTCTAATACTCCTTATTCACTGTCAATCTACTCATGAAATACCATGGTTCACTCTTACCCTAATACATTGGTTTAGGATGTCTACTCATATATCTAACCCAATAAGAATAACCATATTCTCTGATATCCTTCAAATTCTCTGGTGTAGCTTCAATATCAGCTAAAGGTTTCACATCATCATAAGCTGAATCCACTATTGTCTCATCTCCCATCTAACATTTTGGTTCGGGTAGTGGTTAAGGTGGTTCTACTGGAATAACTGGAGGTTTTGGTAATTCAGGTGGATTTCCTGGAGTATATTAAGGATTGAATGGATCTTAACAATTAACAAATGTCACATCTGCTATGTATCCATTAAAACCTGGGTAAAATTGATCCTTTCCTATTAATATTCTCAAAATTGGAACCAAGTAATGATTTATATTTGGGAATTTCACATCCTGCTTGCCATCCTTAAATATTGTTTAACCATATGCTTCTCTTGTCTCTCTGTTGTATTAAAATGTTATATAATGCCATTCTGTATGCTTATTTTAATGCTTTATAATCTATGCTACGTTTGGTTAACCTGCTCCGAACATGTTTGTATATGTATAAGTGGCAAATGCATATAATTACTGATCGCTTAACCAAACTGCTAATGTTCTGTCTCCCAATAAATCTGCATTCTTATTGCTCTTTTAATCATTTATTGTAATTCTAAATGCTAAGTGCCATGGTTCCTGTTTTGTTGGTTCCCATTTATACCAACCACCTATGCCATACATAGTTGGGAAAGGTGCTTTCTCATCTCTAACATGTTCATAGAACTCTGGTTGAGTTGATTCGTATTTCTTTATTCCATCAATCAATTTGCTTTCGCTTTTACCCTTACAATCTGGTTCTGGTCTTGGATTGCATGCTAATACAAATTTATTGAAATCATCTTCAGTATTAACAAATGAACCTGCCCCTAACTTAAGTATTGGTGATGATATTTGACCATTAAATCCTGGATATTATTTAAGATCAGAACCACCAACAATCAATCTGAGGAATTTAGGCTATTCATGTTTTGCATCAATTACTGTGAATTATGTTTTATCTGCAACTCTAACAATACCAACAGCTTATCCTTATTTATAACTAAAATGAATATAAGTCCATACACCTTCAATATCACTATAAGGAATTTATTTATTAATATTTGGATTACCTGATGCTACATCATTAGTAATAAATGTATATCCAGCTTGACCTAACCAAATAGCTAACAATCTATCTCCCATTCTGATGTTATCATATGGATCATTATTAGTTAATCTTGAGATGAAATACCATGGTTCGCTGGCACCTTTAAGAAGACTATCAGGCCATCTAGTAAGCCATCTCGTCCAGAATCCATACCCATATTCAATAGCACTACCTAATTTATCTTCAGGAACTTTGAGATCGACAACTTTATCACCATTAGAAGGCATATCTCCGATTTGAACTTATCCACTAACACATTTTCTGACGATTTCAGGTTCTTATGGTTTTGGTGGCTAAACAGGTTCTTCTGGTTTAGGTGGTGGTGTAGACGGTACTTAAGGTGGTTTAGGATCTTCTGGGAAGACAGGAGTAAATGCTCCACTGCATAATTATAATCTTAGTCCTCCAATATGTCCATTGAATGCAGGATAGAATCTGTCTTTACCTATGTTAACAAATACAGAATTGGTAATATAATGATTAATATTGTCCATATTGACATTTTCTTTTCTCTCTTTCCATTATAAGAAACCTGTCACTTATCTTTTGGCTCTACTATATCCAAGGAATATAAAATGCCATTAGGCTAATTGATCTTTGTATGGTACTTGAACATACTTATTGGGATCACCTTCTCCATTCAAATTAGTATATGTATAAGTAGTAACAGCATAGTTTCCATTGTTTCCTATAAATGCTCCTAATGTTCTATCTCCCAATTTTGCAGCGTTTGCATTTTCCATACCTTTATTTTAATGAAGACGAATAGCTAAATGCCATGGTTCCATTACAGTGGGTCTCCATTTGAACCATCCACTAATAGAATATTCATCTGGGAATGCTTATTCATCTGGTGATACTATTTCATTAACTTCACTAGTTTAAGCTTCAAATCGTTTAGATTTTTCAATCAATAAGACTTCCTTTGCTTTATTACAAACAGGTAATGGTTAAGGATTACATGAAAGTGCAAACTTACGGAATTGTTCAACAGTCTCAACAAAAGAACCTTATCCAACTTTAATAACAGCAGAAGTGAATTAACCATTGAATCCTGGATAGAGAGATCCTTGAGTACCACCAAGAACAAATTGTAAATAATCAGGTTTATCATGAGTAGCAGCAACAGAAACAGTTTATGGCTCTTTATTTTCATATTGAATCCATGCCACCACTTTACCAACAGATGTATATGAGAAATGAATAAAAGTCCAAGTAGCTTCAATATCACCAACAAATGATGGACGACCAACAATAGTATTGAAATTATTAGTCTTATGATCATTAGTGATAAATGCATAATCTCCTTAAGCTTAATAGATTGCCAATAATCTATCACCTTTTTTAACATCTTCAAAATTCTTATTGCTTGACAATCTGGATACAAAATACCATGGAGCTTTTTTACCTTGATACATAGGAACAGGATGGCGTGTCATAAATCTCATCCAGAATTGATATCCATATTCTTTGACATCTTATAATTATTCTGGTTTGTCTAATACTAAGTTAATCAATGGCTGTTAAGATTCAAATGCGCTATCAGCAATTGCAGAATCACCTTTCTAACAAGTTGGTTCTTTTTATGGCTCAGGTGGCTTTACTGGTATTTCAGGTTGTTTTGGAACTTCTGGTTCTCCAGGTGGTTTGAATTCAGGATCGTAAGCATTTTCACAAGCAAAGAATTATACATTAGCCAAATAACCACTATAGGCAGGATAGAACTAATCTTTTCCTAAGAAAATCTTATATAATGGAGCTAAATAATGGTTAACTTCATCAATGTATTTAACTTATCTATCCCCTTTTGTGAATAATATGCTCAATACCCTCTTTTACTATTTGGAATAGGCCATATATATGTAATGCCATTCTGTATGTTTATTTTAATGTTCAGTATTTATGTACTTGTTAGGATTACCCTTCCCAAAATTATCATCATATGTGTAAGTAGCAAAGTGATATGCTCCTGTTTTACTCAAAAAAGTTGAAAGATCTCTGTCACCTAACAATTAATCATTCTTATTATGTTTTTATCCATTTATTGTAACTCTAAAAGCTAAATGCCATTCTTCTTATTAAGTTGGTGTCCATAAGAACCAACCTCCAATTGCATAATTATCTGGGAATGGGCGTTCATTATCAGCAACAAACATTGTGACTTCACTTTCCTTATTAAATTGTTTGGTAGATTCAATCAAGCTGCTCACTCCTCTTCCTTTATTGCAATCAGGTTCTGGTAATGGGTTGCAAGACAATGCATACTTTTAAACATCTTCTGGTGAACCTATGAATGAACCTGGTCCTATCTTCAAAACTGGCCTAGTGAATTAACCATTGAATCCAGGATACAATTTTAGATCATTACCTCCCAAAACGAATCTTAATTTCTTTGGAGCTTCATGAGTTATTCCTCCAAATTCTAATTATTATGTCTATTTGTTAGCATGAACAAAAGCCATTGCTTTCTTTTTCAATGGACTGAAACTGAAATGAATGTATGTCCATACACCTTCTATGTCTTTGTATGGTTATTACTTATACAAATTTGGATTTGATGTTCCTTTGTCATTTGTTATGAATGTGTATCCATCTTTACTTAGGAATATTGCCAATAATCTATCTCCCATTTTTATGTTGTCATATGGATCATTTGATGTCAATCTTGAAACAAAATACCATGGCTCACTCATACCCTCAAATAATTATTATGGATGTCTTGTCAACCATCTACTCCAAAATCCATAACCATATTCGGTTACATCTTTTAAAGCTTCTTCTGGAACCTAAATATCTGCTACTGGTTTGACATCTGCTGCAGAAGATGAATCTCCTATTGCTTTTTGGCCTTCAATACATTTTTGCATAACCTCTGGTGTCTTTATTATTGGAGGAGGTGGTGATACTATCACATCTGGTGAAGGAGGCTTAACAGGTGGTTTTGGAGGTGGTTTTATTGTTGGAGTCTTAGGGGGAGGTTCAACACTCTTAGAAGGAGGTGGAGTGGGACCTAATGGTGATGGACTCGGAACTGGAGTTGCAGTTCTTGGGAATTTTGGATCATAAGCTCCATTACATAAATCAATTCTGAATTTTCCTATTATACCATTCCAAGAAGGATAATGATCATCCTTACCCAAATTTATTGAGAATCTTTGGACTAAGAAATGGTTAACATTCTCAAATGTTCTTTCCTCTCTAGCCTCCTTAAAATGAACTATTGAATGAGCAGTCTTTTATTTAAATGAATATCCGAAATATACAAATGTCCATTCTTAAATTCTATTTTTATGTTAAATTTAATTCATAACATTAGGATTTCCTTCTCCAAATAAATTATTATATGAATAAGTAGCCAGCAAAACAATTCCATCGTTTGCAGTACCAATCCAAGCTGCTAAATCTCTATCGCCTAAATTTTTTGCATTATTATTTTCTTTTGTAGCAAATACTCTGAACATTAAATGCCATGGTTCTTGTTTCTCTAATTACTTCCATTTAAACCAACCACTAACTGAATATTCCTCAGGGAATGGAGTTTCGAGTGTAGTTTTGACTGTTTGCACTTTAGCAGTTTTAACATTGTATCTAACAGCTTTATGAATGAGAGTTTATTTAGATCTTTCAGTACAGTCTAATTTAGGATATGGATTGCATTTAAGACTGTAATCGAATAATTCTAATTCTGAATTAACATAAGCTCCCTCGCCAATCTTAAAGACAGGGTTAGTGAATTAACCATTAAATCCAGGATAGCTAAATTATTTACCTCCGACTACCAATCTTAAATAAGTAGGAATATCATGAGTAACATCAAGAGTGATTTATTGTACTTTTCCACTAGATCCAAACTTCAATAAAGCAACAGACTTTTTTAATCTTCCACTGTATGAAAAGTAAACATAGCTCCATAAACCTTCAATATCTCCAGTAGGTATATTTTGATTAACATTAGGATTACGAGAAGCTTTATCTAATGAAGTGAAATGATAGCCAGTATCATAATGCCAAATAGCTAGAACTCTATCTCCCATTTCAGCATCATTAAATTTTTGATTTGTTGTTAATCTTGAGACAAAGTAATAAGTATTTTTAGTTCTTCCTGAGATCAATTCATCTGGATATCTACTTAACCATCTTAACCAGAAACCATAACCATAATCGGTAGATCCAGCAAGATCTTTACCTTCAATGACTGAATCAGCAACAGCTTAATCTGAACTAGCACTCATATCACCAACAACATTAGCACCTTTCACACAATCAATAACGACTAAAGGCGTTGGACTTGGAGACTTTGGTTTAGGAGGTGGTTTGGGGGATGGCTCCTTTGGTTTAGGAGATGGTTCTTTAGGTGGTTTAGGAGATGGTTCTTTAGGTGGTTTAGGTGATGGTTCTTTAGGTGGTTTAGGGGATGGTTCTTTTGGTGGTTTAGGAGATGGCTCCTTTGGTTTAGGTGAAGGCTCTTTAGGTGGTTTAGGAGATGGTTCCTTTGGTGGTTTAGGTGATGGTTCTTTTGGAGGTTTAGGAGATGGTTCTTTTGGTGGTTTTGGGGATGGTTCTTTTGGTTTAGGAGGATGGATAATAGGTCGAAATGGATCCTCAGGTTCAGGTTAGATTGGCTTAGGATCAACAGGAATTATTGGTGTAGGGGTATTATCACATTATCCTCTGATGATTTAAATCTTTCTTATTTCTCCCTCAATATTAATAGTAATTGGTTTCTAGCATTCTTCTTCTAATTCAAGTAAATCTAAGAGTAAAACTTCTATCATTTTAAACAACATCTCGCAGCAAGCTTTTCTAGTTTAAGTGTCAGTAGCTGCCAATACTAAATTAATTTATGATTTCATCCCATCTATGTGAGGACGAGCAAATGAGTTTGGCATTTCTATAAGGGCCAAGGAATCAAATTTATGTTTTAACATATAAAGGTATTGTAAATTATGAACTTATACAAATGAAACCTGGACTTATTCTTCAATTCCTTTCTTTGCTAACATTTGTAATTCTCTTAATTCTTTAATATCTTAATCTAATCTTCCGGTCTAAGCAAAAGTTAGTGCCTCACCCAGTTTTTTTAGGCCTTCTTCAGCATCATACAGCTTTGATTTATCACAACCGTATGACTCTACGTCAATCTATGCTAATGATTGTACGTTAATCAAAGAGGTACTTGTAACTTAATATAATAATCAAATATTACAGCTGATAAGCCCTACAAGCACCAGCAACACAGCAGCTTTGTTTGTCATAATTACTTAATAATAAAATAAAAACGGATTTTAATCCCCGGCCCCTTTTCTGCCATTGATTAGATTAGGTAATTAAGTACTGATTTTGTTATTATAACTTCAGAATTCTTTTCTAAATTTTACAAAAAACTCACTCAACCCTTCTACCATTCATTATTAATTAATGTAAAATTTACATCTTCCCACCTCACAACTCTATTATGAAATTTGTGCACTCTCTAGAAATAAGCGAATTACTGATCTTGAAAGAAGAGCACTTAAAAAAGTAATCACTTCTCATATTACAAAGCTTGTCATTCTAGATGACAAATACATTTTTGAACTTATCGATGAATACAACCAAAAAAAAATTACTGAAACTAAGCTACAAGATTAACTTATTCTTCTATCAAAAGATGTTGATATGAAATGTAAACTATTTAACAAATGCATAGCTGATACTAATGATGAATGCTAATAAATTCTTGATTACTAATTCAACCATGCTGAGGCTAAAAAGGTTATTGATTTCATCGAGCAAAATCCATAAATCCCAGAAGAAATAGCTTCTCCCTTAGGTGCCTAATTATGGAAAAAAAGAAGAGCTGAAAGATAAAGCAGAAAAGGAAAGTGACAGTTTAAATATTATGCAATTTTATTTATATAATTTCTGTATTCTAACTAATTCTGAATAAATATCTATATCCTTTGCCATTAATACAAATATTTTCTGCTTTTCACATTAAATTTCTGTATTTATTGCAATATTTCCTATTTCTATTATTAAAATTATATTCATAAAATTCAATCATTTATTCATTGATTATTAACCATCTTTTTATGATTTCTTTGCCTTCAATATTAGTAAAAGCTTAGATTAACCACAATCAATTAAGAAAATTTCAAAATTTCAGTTTTTCTTTTTTGATTTTACAAATTTTGAAAAAATTTATTAATAAAATTCTAATCACTTACTATCTTTTGATGTTTTGTTTAATAATTTTTGTTAATATTTTTTACTTTTATTCCTACATAACGAACTTTGTTCTAAAATGGTTGTAAAATAATTAAAGTTATTAGAAGGATAATAAGCAAAATTACATTAATGTATGATAAACATGAAAAAATTAAGGAATATTGGATTTAATTTAAAAATAAAATAAAAGTAAAGATTATTTACTTTAAAACTTACTCTCTTAAAATTACAGGAAAATTATAGTTAATCAATATATAAACTTAAAATTGATTTAACTTTATAACATAGTAGCCAATTAGAATTATCATCTGTTTAACATTTGCAATTATTCTTATGATTTATCATGAATTTAATTTCAGAATCAATCTTAAGTATTCAACTTCATCAACACATATTATCTTGTAAAATTATTGATTAAAAATAGTCTTCAATGTTCAATAATAATGAGAAAATATTCTTAAAATTGCTTAGGCTAATAAAATATTTTTAAGAAAAAACGGTAAAAAATTATTGATGATAGATTTTAGTGTTTTCTTATAAATAGATTTAATGATTGAAATTTGAATTTCTTATTCCAAAACAATCCATTTTATCAGGAATTGTTTTTTTTTAAATTTTAATATGTGTATCAATAGATTATTTGATTTTCGTTCACTTTAAATGCATGATAAATTATGATGTTACTTTTACCCTCATAATTAAGGTAAATTGTTCTACTAACAGTCTAAAAGATTTTTAATATAAGAGATAATCTCAATTTATAAGCGTTCTAAAATATTATTATAAATTTCTTTAATCAATTTAGATGTTGCTGGTACATTTTGTAGCTAAATAACTTAAAAAACTATTCTGTGTATTAAATAATAACTTCATTTAATTTAAGGGTTACTAAATAAATTGATCTTACAGCGAAAAAGTGAAATAATGGTTCAAATTTTCCATCGAATTTAAACAAAAGAAATTAATCTAATTATAAATTTTAGCAAGCCTTAGATAAATACAACCTTAATTTAAGAAGATATAGTAATGTAGCTTAATTATGAAATTGTCATTATATTTTAGAAGTGATTAGGTAAAATACATTTACAGATTAGAATTGATGAAATCAAAATTAATAGGGTTAAAATTTTTTTTTATTTTCCAACAAGAGCAACTAATTTCATTATATATTTATAAGTATAATTTTATTATTCAAATTTTTTTTATATCGAATTAATATTTAGAGACTTTTTAATGGTTTTAGTACTGAGCCTATATTTTTATTATAATTCAATATTGATAAATTGATTGTTTATTTTAAAAGTAAATTATGAGTTCCAATTAGTTATCTTAGTGATATGAATGCAAAAAAAAAAAATTTGATTAATAGTTAAATGTTTACAAAAATTAGAGATAATCTAAAAAAGATAGATATTTTTGGATAATCTATAACACTTAGCTTTCGTTAAGAAGAGTAATACAGAACAAGTTTTGGAGGAACACTTTCTTTATGCATAATTGCTACAATAATTAGTTTTTTTTACTCAAATATAATTGACTTTTTTAAAAAAAACTCAGTATCCTCTGAATAAGAATAATAATTTAGTGAAGATCCAAGTACAATCTAACTTTTACCAAATAATTTTATGTTTGCAGTTCAGATTGATTAAGTAAATTTTACAACAAACCCTTACTTTAATATTACAGTAGAACAGAGAGCATATACCAGAGATGAAAATGGAACATAAGTAAAGTTGTCTCCAGTACATGTTGATTTAGTGCCTTGTACAATTGAACATTTTGAGCCAATATTTAATTAATACAATTCATCTTTTGAAGTTTAGTTTAATCAATATAGCTTAAATAATTTTTTGTGTCCTAATTTACAGCATCCATTGACATAAAATATGACAGTTGGAGGGTCATGGACAAGTAAGACAATGATTATAAATATTATTAGGTAGGGAATTCTCCTTTTTGAAATTTGTGGTTTCTTCATGTAAAAGCAATACAGGAAATAATTTTTCATGGAAACCACAATGTAAGACAGATGAAGAAATGTTTAAATAATTGAAATCATCTGGAAGCTTCCGATTTTAAGTATATACAACTAATTATGTAATTTATAAATGTATAAAAACATAGTTAATCAATCCTGGATCACCTACAAATTATATTAAACCTTATATAGCCATAGAATAATTTTATTCATTTGTTCCAAATGCTATGTTTGTCCAATCAGATATTTTCATTCGACCTAGAACAATTACAACAGATGACGGAATATTAATGTATCCTTAATAATCAACTTAAACTTATATAACAAGAGAATACATGGATAATAGAGAATAATCTGCTATATCTGGTTTAACCCCTGGATATTATGGAGCTTTTTATTTTGTTAGAAGTCCTTACTCTTATGTTATTTCAAGAAATTTTATGAGACTCGATGAATTATTGAGTTATTTAGGAGGATTTTCACAATTTATGATAGCAGTTATTGGAGTTTTAATTAAGTTTTATAATCGTGAACATATGCTCATAGAAATGGCTAATGATTTATATGAATTCGATCTTAATAAAAAAAGACATAATACTATTGAAGCAAATAATAGTTTATTATCATCCACACAAAGGGGAAGAGAAGCCTTGAAAAAATCAATGCATAAAATAAAAGGAGATTCAGCACTTAATATAAAAAGCATGAGTACTTTTAATTAGAAACCTATTATGGGATAATTTGTAGAACCTAAGAATATTGATAAATAAGATAGTCTTAAATTAAAAGAAACTATAAATTCACATCGACCAAGTAAACTTAAAAGGGTTAGTTAGTTAAAGGTTTAAAGTTCAGTTATTTTTGAATAGTTTAAATAATTAATGATATCTAATTAACATATAGGGATTAGTTTAAAGTTGATATTAAGTTAAATTATGCCCTTTTAATGTATATAATCAGATGAATGTATAGTATTAAAAAAGGCTATGTAGATATTATTGATTAATAATTAGAGCTTAAGTGAATAAAGAATTGGATATACAATATATCATTAGATAGTTGCATGAGATGATAAAATTAAAGAGAGTTCTTTTTAACCCTGAATAAATAACATTATTTAATTTTAGTCATAGGCCAACAATAAGTTTGATTAGAGATAAAAGAAATAGAAAATCAACAGTGTAAAATCTTATTAAAACTTTAGACTCAAATAAATTTTGGAAAACCCAACTTAAGAAATAGTGCTATCCCAATTATTCACTGATCTGGTCAATTCATATTAAAAGTTGATAGGATTGGATGATTAAAATATGACAGAAGAATAAATTCGGTTCAATTAAAGATTGATCTTACTTTTGGGATCGAAATTACCTCATTTGTTAGAGAAAGAATTAGCATAAGCTTCGGATGAGGATTCAATTGATGAGGATCCAAAACCTGATGATATAATGAGTAGATCAAATTGATTTGATATTATTAATGCATAGATAATTATAATCAAATA